GGGGAGGCCGTCCCGCGCCAAAGGCGCTCTGGCCCCCCAGAGGCCGCTTGTGGTCCGACCCCGCGGAGAAGCCCGGCCTCCCCGCGGGACAGGGCTGAAGGGAGGCACCGGGGAGGGAACGGTGATGGGCAGCCAGGCGGCATGAGGAGGCCGCGGCCCGGGGCACCGCCGCGCAGCGGGTCTTCCGCGAGGGTTGGGCGGCCGAGAACCAGCTCACGGCGCGAACCCCGCGCCCTCGGTTACACGCAGCGCCCCAGGAAGCCGGGCGCTCTCCCTCACGCCATCCACCCACCGGACACGCCACTAGGACAGGCTCGGCGCCGAGCCCCGCTCCCCGCGCTTCCCGGCACAGCACCACCAAGATGGCGTCCTCCGTGGCTCCCCCCCCAACACTGAGGAGGGACTGAAGTGCGCCTGCGCGACCCCCCCTTCGCCCCTACGGCTGAACCCGCACGAATCCTTCCGGCCCGCTCTCGCCCCGCGGCCAGGCGCCGAGCGCGACCCAGCGCGCGCATGCTCCGAGCGCGCGGCGCCCCAGAACGCCGCCGGGAGGCGGAAAATGCCGCTTTCGTAACCCTCGCTTCTGCACCTGCGCATGCGCGGTCTCACGCCTGGTTCATGTCGGCACGCATGCGCGCCGCTTTGGCGCGCAGACGAGATCGGTGCTGGGGGGCTGAGGGGAGCCGCTCTGCCGCTAGTGCGCATGCGCCTTCGGCCCCGTGGCCGTCCCCGGGGCATCCCTGTAAACCCGGGGTTTACACAGGGGACAGCGTCACTGAGATCACCGTTGCTTTGGCGTGTTAAGCGTTGTCATCAGTCTCTCGTTTCCGTTAGTCCCAGTGCTCACCCAGCCGAGGAAGAGGGGCAGGGAGGAAGGCAGGTCCGGTGGGGCCCAGTGCTGACTGGCCTGGGCCTGTGGGTGCCTCAGGCACCGAGGAGGGGGTTTGCACCCACTGCTTCTCTTCCGATGGCTACAGACACGATTTATAACCTAACTCGGGGCTGGCTCGGGGCTGGGTTTGGGGAGGAAAGGCGGGCAGGGATGGAGGGCAGGAAGAGGAGGAGGAAAGGTGTGAGGCCGTGTACAGGGAAGGGGAGGCAGAGTACTTGGGTTGTGCAGGTGAGGTAGTTATTTTATCCTAGTGTTTATCCCACCTGCCTTTCCCTGTCTTTTATGTATTTTGCCCTGTATTTCTAGGTTTATTCTGTGCTTGTCTGCTCCATTTTCGACAGACAAAAATCTGTATTATTGACGGTAGATTCACCTCGTAACTCAGCCTTTAAAAACTTGTTGAACCCAGCAGAAGAAATCTGCTGAGGAATAAAGCATTTGGTGCAATAAGCATATAGGCTTCCAAGCAATGCTAATACAGAGAATCACAATAGTTAGGCGATTAGCACACCGGAAAGGGGCAGCAAGGAATAATTACAGTCCAGGACATGAAGTGCCCTGCGAAGTTTTGGTAACGCTTGAGGGAGTGTGAACAAGAGCATCCTGGCAGGTGAAAAAGCCAAAGGGGGTAACTGGGCTGTGCGTCCACCTATTCCTCGAGGCATTTGGTGTGCTTGCCCTGCTACCCGGTTCCTGTCGGGGGGAAATAACACACACCTATTACATTTGTATTATACATCGGGTAGCAGTTTTAGAGATGAGGTACCAGAAAGTGCAAACTAGACCTCTCTCTTCTCCCGACTGTTTTTCCCGCTGATCTCACCCAGCTCCACGTTCCACAACAAGCCAAACAAACCCCTCCTAACTTCACTGCTCTCTTTTCACCTGCTCCGCCCCTGCCGCTCCCCGGCCCGCTCGGGTTCCCCGAGTTCCCTGCCCCTCCGTAGCCGATACCCTAAATCCTCCCCCGGGCTTGCGCCCCCCTCGCCCCGCCCGCCTTCCCTCCCAAAGACCTAAGTGGCCACGGCACAGCTTTGATACCTGTGCTCAGAGATACATCCCAGAGAAACGTCTGTAGACCGTTTTTTATAATCGTTCTTTTGTCAGGCATTTGTATGGTTACAGGTATTCACATTTTCACCAGTAAAATTCCGTAGTGCCCTGGATTTCTCTTCTCAAACACTTCCATAACTTGAAACCCTTTGTCAAAACGTGAATGTCCGAGATGTTAAGTGTCTGAGATCTTCAGGCTGTGTGCATACTAATCCAAGTCCCACGTGGGAACTTGGAGCATACACAATGCAGCTTGAGAGTACTAAATTGTGCATACTTCCAAGTCCCACGTGGGAACTTGGAGCATACACAATGCAGCTTGAGAGTACTAAATGAAAAATGTGGTAATACTTTAGGAGATAAGATGGTATGATAGTGTCCATCTTTTATATATACACAGTCCAAGAGAAGTGGGAGTTCAGTGTTGTGTGTACAGAAACAAATTTGTGACTAAGACCCAACAGCATCTCTCTTCAGAACTGGTACCTCAGTCAGACGCCGTGATCCGGATGGCTGTGTTCACAGCTGCTGCGTAAAAGCTGGTCACCTCTTCCTCCACCAGCATGGTATCTTAAAAGAGTAACCCCGTAGTCTACTTGCAGAAAAAATGCACTGTAATAGTTTTCAGACCCCCTGATAATGTGGGTGTCTAGATCCATAACTCCCTTTTAGGCTTGAATCTTCCTCTAACTCAAGGGCTTCAAGAAGAGATAATTTCCAGGGGGAAGTCAAGGATTTTTCTTTTTCCACAGCGTCTGAAGGGAGCAGTGTAGGTAGCTGCCAGTCAGTCTGCTGTTTGCGTCTTGTCTGAATTCCACTTGGGATTGCACAAGTCTGCCCATGCACTCCATGGCTAGCTCGTCACTGTGGATTCTGCTTTCAAGCAACATGTCTAAAAATTTAGGTATCATCACAGTGAATGTCACAACTCAAGTCTTTTCACCGATCTGATCCTATTGGGCTTTTTCTTCTTTGTAGTTAAGTATGAATGGTTGATCATTTTGACTAATGTTGTTTCTGTAAAACTGGTCTCATGAGGATGTATTTTAAGGTTATAAAACTTTTCACAGAATTTTACATGATTTTTATATGCACAGTTCAATAAGCATAAATAATAATAAGTACCATTTATTAGTACATAGAATCAATTTTGGTTTGTAGTATGTGTTTAAAAGTACAGAGAGAGGTCCATGATAGTGAGACTGAAAAAGTTTCTGGGAAAAAAGTTATTGAGCACTAGCAGATGTGCACTATGATGTGCCATGAAAGTAGTGTTTACTTTAATTTCATACTAAATGTTAACTATGTTCTGTTATTCACTGAAAACCATTAATATAAAGCTTGATCCCCATGCACAATTTTAAAAGCTTTGAGTTTAAAATAACTTTACAAACTACAGTTATATTTTGAAAAACCTTTGCATATAAGCATTTTGTTTTTAGGACTGACTTCCTGTTCAAAGGATAAAAACTATATAAACATATAATGCTGGTGGTGTACAGAGGATGGGCTAAGGATGGCAGTGTGGCAAGATTTAGAGGGAGAGATTATATCTGTTATTAGACCAACTGATATAGTTTAAAAAAAACCCACAAAAACACAAGCTCTGGCTTCCTGTTCCCCCCGGTATATCAGTCAGCCTACTAACATTTTCCTAAAACATCTTTGTACAAACTGTAACATGAACATTTTTTAAAACGCAAGGTGATTTTCATGCACATGTCACTCAGATGGTTTATTTGTCTATCTAATAATCTATATTGATCTCTTGAGAACAATAGCAGTTGTCCTTAGTATTCTGTGAAAAAAAATCAGTTTTATATAGACTAAAAGTGCATTTGTTTTTGGGGTTTTTTTCCAGGTAGTTCATGTGTATGTCAGCCAGGATACAGAATGGTTTCTAGTAATGGTGGGTCCTCCGTTATTTGTGAAAAATGCCCAGAAAATATGGTGAGTATTGAACTTTTCATACTCTGCCATAATAATAATAATGCTTTTTTAAATTTTAAATTTCCTCCTGATTGCAAGTTATTTTTCATTAATTTAAAATTATTTTGCATAATAGTCTTTGGGAATTTTTAAGACTGTGCTTATAGGTAGTAATTTTTTTCTCTTTAGAAGTGTTTATTACTGTTATTTTGCAGGCATTTTTTCATTATAAATTTGACCCCACAGACAAAGTAAGAGTATTTTAAATGTTTAATTTCCTTCCACTGCTTTTCTTTTCTGCTTCATGTTATGTTATCCTTGCCCAGAGACCACTGTTTTATAGAATGCCAAAGACGCTTTTCAGCTCAGAGGTATCTTATTTGTTTATTTATATAAATCCTATTATTGTAATATTTAGCCTGTATCTTCATACTGATATGTATGTATGTATGATACTTTATCTTTTTACTTCAAAATGAGCTGCTGCTATTACGTTACTTTAATTATATATATATATCTTTGTCATTTGGTCAGTTCTTTCTACCTTTCTTGGCAAATTAAGCTGTAATTTTGGTTCATATTCACAGCATTGAGCCAGAGGCACCAGGCTTAACCAGCTTTTTCCCGCTACAGTAAATAGAGAAATAATTTTTCTCCAGCAAAAACAACTTTTCAGGTTGAGAGCCTTCCTGAATACTTCTTTCTCTCCAATAACTGTAGAAGAACTCTCAAGAGACCAGCTTAGTTGCTTAAGTTAGGTGTTTAATGGCTAACGGGTAATGTAAGTAATTTCCCTCTTCTTTCCATCTTCTTGCTGCGTTAGACAAAGACATTGACAAATATCCATTGATGTTTTGATCATTCTGCTGTTTCTTTCTCTTTCCTGTAATGGTGGCATTCATCTTTGATCCTATGGCAGGGTTTATGCAAAGATAAAATGATGGTAGTGGAGAAGGGAATAACATCTGTATCACCTGAGGATGAGCAGTTCTCTTCCATTTCCTCATTGGTTTTAATTAGTAGTGCAGCTACTTCGTGATAGAACATAAGTGTGGATGTGAACTATTTGAGTACGTGCAAAATTCCATGCAGTTATAGAAGCTGCTTGGCTTAAGACTCCTCCATTTCCATTACTTCTGTATAGTTATAGGCACATAGGTCTATTTATGCAGTTATGTTTATCCATTATTTTTTTTCAGTGTAGAACCTCTGTATCTTTTTTAAACCTTACACTTTCAGTGAACTCGTAACTTCATTAAAGGGTGTTAGCTAATGGGTTCAAAAACTTAAGAACACGTTTTTTAGTCTGTGTCTGCATAGGAATTACTTTTGCCACATTGTTTAGCCTTTTTTTATCTTTAAAAGCTTCATGAATGTTACCAATGTCGTGTCTGAACACATTTTCTAGTAAATAACAGCTGGATCAGGCATTCTTCATAGATATTTGGTGATGTCTATATTTTTAAAATTACAGTAGTTTTACATTTTATTTTAGAGCGGAGTTA